ATCTGTTGACATCTTCTGCTATTTCCTTTCTCAAAGTTTCATAATTCTTTTTATGGAGATCTTTTACTTCTTTTGTTAGATATGTTCCCAGGTATTTCATCTTCTTTGGTGCTATTGTAAAAGGAATAGAGTCTTTGAACTTTGATCTCATCTTGACAATTGTTGGCATATATGAAGGCTACTGATTTGTGGGTATTGATTGTGTAACCTGAGATGCTGCTATATTCCTTGATCACTTCTAAGAGCTTTGTAGTCGAGTCTCTGGGGTTTTCCAGGTAGAAGATCATATCGTCTGTGAAGAGGGAGAGTTTGACCTCCTATTTGAATTTCCTTGATCTCCTTCTCTTGCCTGATTGCGATGGCTAGTACTTCCAACACTATGTTAAATAGCAGTGGAGACAGTGGGCATCCTTGTCTCGTTCCAGATTTCAGTGGGAATGCTTTCAGTTTTTTTCCATTCAATATAATACCATCTTTCAGTTTTATTCCATTCAATATAATATCAGCCCACATCACAAAGTCCCAAACACCAGATGCTGGTGTTGATGTGGAGAGAAGGGAACACTTCTGCACTGCTGGTGGGTTTGCTGTACATAGCCTCTATCAGTTTAAGGAATGTTCCTTATAAGTCTATTTTCTTGAGTGTTTTTGTCATGAAAGGATGCTGGATATTGTCAAAAGCCTTTTCTGCATCAATTGAAAGAATCATATGATCTTTGTTTTTGATTCTATTTACGTGGTATATTGTATTTATAGATTTGCATATGTTGAACCAACCCTGTGTCTCTGAGATAAAACCCATTTGATCACCTCTTAATACTATCACATATGAATTTTGGGGAGACACATGCATTCAAACCATAGCACTCCCATAATCCTGAATTAGGGTTCATCTTTGACCAAATAATGTTACTTCCTTTCTCTGTTGTCTGTGGACACCATATCTGCCTGGAGTGAGGTACATTATTGGGTCTCAGGAGACCATCAGGTGGCTTTAAAGTTTGATTTCATTTTACCTGCACCTTATACACCCTGTGCTCTGAAAAGAGGTCACTCATTTAGGGAAAGAAAACCCTGCTGTGACTTCCCCTCAGGGACTGGAAGGTGTGCCCTTGATCACTGTTGGCCTCCATTCTACTTCTCTGTCTTTCTTTCTTCTGACTCTGTAAGGCACAGAGAGTCTACACTTCACTTTGTAATTCATATGTAAGTGTACGAACCATGTATCTCCATACTCTCCCTCCATGGGATGGTGGGGACCCTCACATCAGCTGGTAACCAGCGAGCCCTGGCAGTATCTGTTGGCTGGTTGCCTGATGTCCACTTGTTCATTAGTAGAAGGATTTAGTGTTCAGGAGAGGCAGGCCTCTACCTAACCCACCTCCCTTCTTCTCTAGGAAAATGGCTAACCTATGGGCCTATTAGAAAATTCCTTTATCCTAAAAACAAAAAGAATTCAGGTCACCTTGACTTTATTTATCTACCATATTTCCCTCCTCTTGTGGGTTCTCACACATTCTTGCCACCACCATCACATTGGCCCCAATGTGGCCAAATGACTCTTATACACGTGAGAAAAGACTGGAATGTTTCAGTAAAAACTGAAATTGGGAACTAGACACATTGAGTTACTCACACTAGATGATCCGGCTACTGAGCCAGAGTTCACTTGTCTTACTGTGCAGCCTATCATGGGGTCCCTCCCTTTCGGGTCCCTGTTTCTCTCTGGACAGGGCATGGCATTGTGATACTCATCACCATGTCTACAGAAGTGTTTGTTTGGTTATTCCATACACTAGTCTACCTGAAATATGTCTTTTGCAAAGAATTAAAATGAGGCATAGTAATTCAGTAATTTCAGACCTCCACTATCTGACTCTTCCATCCATTAACACTGCCCTCCTACACATTAAATGGTGCTTAGACTGTATTGCCTAAAATATACCAAATAACTTGACATATGCCTTCTTATCTTAAAATGTCAATTCTTGGCTTGGATAAAGAATCATGGGAGCACATTAAGCTGTTGTTCAAAGTAATGGCCAGGAAAGACATGCCATGTTCATGGATGGAAACACTCAACAGCTTTTCTTTGTTGAGTCTTCCTACATTGATCAATAGATTCAATGCAATCCCTATTAAAATCTCAGCAAAGTTTTATGTGGACATAGACAAGATTATCTTAAAATTTGGGTGGAAAGGCCTTGAAACGGCTACAGCAATCTTGAAAAGAGTAAGGTGGAAGAAATCACTCTACCTGATAAAAAGGCCTACTACATATCTACAGTAATTAGTATGGTGTTGGTGGAGGGATAGACACATAGATCAAGGGGATAGAGAGCCTAGAAATAGACGCATAGAAATATGCTGAACAAGTTTTTCATAAAGGTGAGAAAAAACATCAGATGGAGTGAAGATAGCATCTCAACAAATGGCACTGGAACTACTGGGAATCTGTTGACGTAATAAACAAACAAACATTGACCTACACCCCACACCTTACTAGAAATTAACTCAATATGGATCATGGGCTTCAGTGTAAAGCATAAAACTATAAAACTTTGTAGAAGAAAACAGGAGAAAGTCTTAGGCATCTAAGGGTAGGCATAAGAGATTTTACACTTGACCCCCTCTAGGACACCAGACACAAATGGGATGAGTGTATTGGCTTTTCAAGGCTTGGAGGTCTGGCCTCCTTTTTCTTCAGGGCAGTACAGAAGCAATGAATCATTTGATCCTTTTCAAACTGAACATTATACAACTACATGCCTCTGCTGTTTTCTACTCCTGGAACCCTGGGCTCTGCAGAGTTATCAGTCCTGGTCCCCCTGGGAGATACATGTACCTGAAAGCCCAGCAAGGAGCCCACTTAATTATACCTTATGCTGCCTGGGTACTTTAGGGTCCTTATATCCAGGAACCAGCAAGCAAGAAAAGGGTGAGCATCTTTTCATTTATTTATTTTTTTTGAGACAGAGTCTCACTTTGTTGCCCTCAGTAGAGTGCCGTGGTGTCATAGCTCACAGCAACCTCAAACACTGGGGCTCTAGTGAGTCTCTTGCCCCAGCCTCCTGAGTAGCTGGGACTACAAGTGCCTGCTACAACACCCAGCTATTTTTAGAGATACAGTCTTGCTCTGGCTCAGGCTGGCCTTGAACCTATGAGCTTAACCCACCTGCCTCAAGGCAGTCCACCCACCTCAGCCTCCCAAATGCAAGGATTACAGGTGTGAGCCACCGCACCTGGCCCTAGGGTGACCATCTTGTCACCTACCATCTTGTCAAGGAGGTAGGGTTGCTTTCACACAATAAGAGTGAGACTAATATGGGGGCACTCGGGAGACCACGAGTGTGCCTCTTGGTACTTACTCGACCATGTCTGAGAATGGATAAACACAAGCAACTCCACTACCAAAAGAATATGGCTACCGAGGGCGCAGTCCCTCAGGAATGAAGATTTGGGTCATGCCACTGGGTAGAAGTAGACCAGTAGACCAGGTGGCAGATGCAGCAAGGAATAGCTAGAATGGATGGTGAGGGAAGGACACCATGAGTAACAGCCCTGAGACCAACTGCAGCAACAGAGGCTGTACTGGGTCCTACTAACTTCCCTTTGCTAAGTTTGCCTTCAGGGCATCAGTGCGACATTGTAATAAGAACCCAAATTGTTATCTTTGTGTTTGTCCTATTCTTCCAATATGTTTCAAATGCCTGAATCAATGCACTAGCTGACACACCATCCCAGCTTACCGCTGAAGAAAAGTTTAACAACTGAGCAACCACCTTGCACCAAGGGCTGTCTGCACACCATCTCCTTACCACTCGAGTGCTGACTGACCCAGTTCGCAAACCCCACCTGATAGATGCCTTTCTGAGACCACTCCTGGAGCCAACTATCGTTGGATACTCTGGGAAGCAGATATCCAGACAGAGTCAGGAGTGCAAGAGCTTTCTTGAGAAGTAAGACCTGTGAAAGGAAAAGGAAGGAAGCAGTTGAGACAGGGAAAGACTTCGGATCACGAAGTAGACCTGACAGCTTCTCTGCAGACCAGCAAAGGTTGCAGGCTGGAGGGCTCCTGCAGTGGGCAGAGATGGGTAGGCTTTGTACCCCAGCCTTGCTTAGTCACCGGACAGGGCTTCCCAAAGAAGAGGCCTCAAAAGCAGTGGCAAACACTTAAAAGACAAACCGGAGGCTGTCACAAACTGTGCTGCTCAAAGACACATAGCAAGTGGGTCCTTCTTTAAAGTGGGGTCTGAATGTGCGTGGATCTCTGCCCTGCCCTCCGGGGCACATTTATCTCCCAGCAGACAGGCTCAGCTGTGCAAGTCCAACTGCACCAGCTCCTTTCAATTGTGTGTTATATCTGCTAATGCCCAATTGGCTGGAGCAAGTCATGTGGCCTAACCCAAAGCTAAAGGTCAAATAAGTGCACTCCTCCCACCGTGAAGTCACGACAATGGTGGTGTGTTATAGGAGTGAGAGATCAAGGCCAGTAATTACAACCACACAGGATAAAGGCCTTTTGGGAACAGTGAGCTCTGGCTAAGTTAGCTGCTATTAGTACTCCCCGTCCCAGAGACCAGGTACCCTAGACCAAGGGGTTCCACAGATAGATGATCCTCAGATAGGACAATCGCTTGGCTGAAAACCAAAATTGAGTTTGGTACCTGGAAGTCAGAATTGCAGTCTGGGGATGGGAGAGGCCAAACAAAGCACACAACGACCAGGCCATCCTCCCGAAGCCCCTGCCAGGCAGCTCTGGGGCTGGCCGCTGGTGGATCAATAGCAATTTGGGGCAGTAGGGAGGGCGCCATCAGAATAGCTTGGATGAACTGAATGTGATGAGTTGCCGGCTGCTTCCCGAGTCCTTGGGGAAGTGCTCGCACCATCCACTTAGCGCTGGAGCCTGGCCATTCTGCGTGCACTCCCACCCCGCTCATCCTGCCTGGATGCTCCTGCCTCTTGCACTGGCTCCTCCTGTCCTCCGTGCTCCAGGGAGAATGGAGGCTTCGGGCCAGGCCAGGAGGTGCTGCCCAGAGGCCACGGGGAAGCTATTCCCCGGGCTCTGCTTTCTCTGCTCCTTGGTGACCTACGCGCTGGTGGGTGCCGCGCTGTTCTCTGCCATTGAGGGTGGTCAGGTCCTAGGGGCAGAAAACCAAGAGTTTGAGGAGTTCTTGGAGGGTCTCTGCAGCATCTTGGAATGCAATGGAACAGGTAGGTGCCTCTCCTGGGCAGGGCGGGCCTTCCTCTGTGGCAGAAGCGCCCCCAGGGAGCAGACGGCTCCCACGTAGGAAGCTGGGTCTCAGAGCTGCCTGCTGTGTCCTCCCCATTCCTGGCCACCTGAGGCAAGTGACTTCTGAGCTTCACTTTTCTCCTCTGAAAAGTGAGGAGGCCAATGGCCTCTCAAGGGTGCTGTGAAGAATATAGGGAAAGCACCGAAAGGAGGGCAAGACCAGCCTTTGCCTTGGCCCCAGCCCCACTCGGACCGGCAGGCTCTGGGGAGGACGATTACTGGAGATTTGGTGGGGTGGGGAAGATGGCTGAGCAAATCTGGGGCTGGGAGTTCCTTGGCTGGTCCTCAGAGCAGGACTCAGTTTGCAGGGAGTAGTACTCAAGAGACAATCCAAACTGGGCTTAGGTGTCCAGGACAAGCAGCCTGCGCTCAACTCGCCCACATCCTGTTTCAAAGGGCTTTTCTAACATCTGGCTCAGTGGGGGGGAGATGCTGTGAGAAGAGCTTGGGGGCTGGTTCAGGTCCCAGCTGGTCTTCCAGCTGACAGTGTGGCCCTGTAGGCAGAGCCCTTGTCCCCTCTGGGTCTCAGTCTGCAGGAGAGAAGCCTAAGACCAATCTCAAGCCTGCCAGTCCCAGCGACCCTGCAGGAAGCAGAGGGGATGAGGGAAGACAGAGGTATTTTATATGTGTCCTCGCTGCATTTCCCTTGTATCTAGTCACTTGCCTCTGCTCTGTTCCCTGAAGTGCTTGCAAAGATGTGTTCAACAGAGCAGAACAAACAAATACAAGACGAGGGGAAAAGAGCCTCTGAAAGTCCGGGGAACAACCAGGTGCGGGGTGTGGGAGCTCCCGACCTCCGTCCCTGGGCACAGCAGGTCACTAGCCCACCGTGGATCCTCTCACAGGTCAGACCTTGCTGTGGGTGCAGATACAGCTCTCAAAGACTAGAGGCTGGTCACAGGGGGCACAGCCTGCCCTACACAAGGGTCCCACTCCCTGTGCACTTGCCAGGCAGACACAGCTTCACTTGGTAGACCAGGGGGCTGTCATTGCTGCCAAATGGACACTCTGGTCATCACAGGGTCTGGACTGTCAGCCAAGTTCAAGGCTCTCCGACCAGCCTGTGCAGCCAAAGCACCCAGGGAGCTTGTCTGAAATACACATTCCCAGGCACTTCCTCAAATCCACTTATCAGGAGCTCCAGGACTGGGCTGGGAATCTTCTTTTTGAAAAGTTCCCCAGGTGAAGCAGATACACAGCAGGGCATGGGGACTCAGCACCAGCCTCACTCCATGTCTTCTGATTTTTATTAGAGATTAAAATGCTCAATTGCACTAATTAAGTGTAGACCCCGTGTGAGACCTGTTCCCACATTATCTCACTTAATCCTCATAAGAACCCTAAACACTGGGAATAAACTGTCCTCCCTTTATAGATTTGGAAACTGGGACACAGTGAGGTTTAGCCATCCATTTGCCCAAGTTCACAAACTAGAAAATATGGAGCCAGAAATTCGGCCCTAGGCACTTGAACTCCAGAGCCTGAGCCTTTCACCACCATGTTATGCTAATCCCCAGTGGGGAAACCAAGGCTCTGAAAAGATCCTCTTGTCCTGGGACTTGTCAGGGTCGGGGTGGGGGTATTTGAATACAGTGGTCTGGACTCCCACGCTGGTGCCCATTCCTATGAGGAGTGACTTCCTGCTGTGCACTAGTCTCTTCTGATCATACCAGAGACTGGGAGGTGGCCTCTGGGGTCCCAAAGCCCACTGGCTGCTCACACCATAAGAACCATTTGAGAATCTCTCCGAGAAAGCAGGGTTCCCATCCCTGCTCGCTCGGCCCTGGGGCTGCTGATTTGGAAGCCAAGGTTTCCCAGCCCTGAAGGAGACATTCCCAGGCAGCTGGAACCGGAGATCACAATTCTATCAGATTTAATGACCTTCAGGAGTAGATACAACGTGTATCCATACAATGGTTTGCATTTCCTAAAAGCATTTTTGCTTTCAATTCTCAGGAACTCCCATGAGAAAGGCAGAGCAGAAGTTATCTTCTTTGGAAAGGCAAAAGGAACAGAGGGTCAGAAAGTTAGGAAAGCACTAAGGCTACGCAGCAATTCCAGGGCTGAACTTGGTCTAATGGGTCCCTCCATTAGAGGCTCTTCTCAAGGGGCTGTGTGGGCTCCTAACCTTCATGAGGACCAGTGGCAGGACCTAAGCCACAGAAGCATTTTACAGGAGGGCTCTGGGCACCATGCTTTGGTGTTGATGGAAACCGCAGGTGGGCAGCTGGTCCTTGGGAGGAGACTCCGTCCCCTTTGCCTGAGAGGGACCTTTCTTGAAGAGCAGACCCTTCCCTCACTCTGGTGCTGTCTTTCTTGAGCCATGAGAGGCAGGAAGGAGAAGGTCCAGGAGCATCTGCGGAAGGTGAATCCCCAGTGGCTCAGCAGGTCTGCAGACTGGTCCTTCCTGAGCTCGCTCTTCTTCTGCTGCACAGTGTTCAGCACCGTGGGTAAGTGTGAGGGCAAGGGCAGCGTGTGCCATGGCCTCCTCCAGCCACGTGCTGTTGCCTGGGAGAGAGATGTAGGGGGGAGGGGAAGGAGGGAGGCTGGGACCTCGCAGCGGACACTCGGGCATTTGATTTATTTAATAAGCACAACGATGCTGATGTGCTTACCGTGTGCCCGGTGGCACTGTGCCCAACACAGGAGCTCAGCAGTGAGCAGGGCAGCCACTGGCCCATACACCACCTTTGTGCAACTTAGAAAAGCACACCCTTCCCTCAGGTGTGCACAGCCCCATGCCAGGCGTAGGCCCCCACGAGTGAGGCATGTGGTGATTCTGACCCCTTCTTGTCGCCTCGACTGAGTGCTCGTATGTCATGCACAACCTGCCCTCGGTATGGGCCTGACCTGGCTGGGAGCAGGGCAGATGTGGCCCTGGCCCTCATGGAGCTTGCAGGCTCCTGAGCAAGACCATGTGTCAAGCCCATGTGGTCAGTGTGTGACAGTGACGAGCCCAGGGTATGCTGGCAGAAGAGTGGTGCTGGTGGTGACAGGAGCTGAGTTGCCCATGCAGTAAGTCAAGCTGCCCCCTTTGATGCTCACAGAGGCCCTGCAGACAGGTGCTGTGAGCCCTTTGTTTTGGGGGGTGTCAGGGGCTGTGGGATACAGTGAGCGCAGCCAGCACCCACCGACAGGCTTTGAGACTCTGCGTTTGGTGTTCTTTCCCCAGAGGTAGGCTGCCAGTCTCGCAGGCCATGGGGACTCTGTCCAGGGAGCCCCGGGAGCCCAGATGTGCCCGGGAGGCAGAGACAGCTCAGGCTTCTGGAGACACATGTAGTGGCTGGTACAGATGGCAGTTCTGGAAGGGACAGCACTGGGGATAGCAAGGAGATGGCTTCACCCTGTCCCTGCACCTGCTTCCCATGTATCTGCCATCCTCAAGTAAAGTCACTCAGGGCAGTCCCTTCCAGAGCTGAGTGTGAGGGACAAGCTGACCCTCTGCAGTGACCACCCACTCATTCAAAAATGGGCTCTATGGACCCTCACAGCCACAGAGCCCCTTTCAGTGGCCACACAAAGGGCAGGCCCCTGGGTGACAGAGAACGCTGGAACTGGGGTATAGAGATGCCCACACTTCCTCTCTCCCTCTTTTTCTGCCTTCTTCCCTTCCTTCCTTCCCCAAATCTATACTGAACACTTAACAAGCAGCAGCAGCTGTGCTGGCTAAGGCATTTGTATTTAAGATGCACCAGGCTCTGTTCTAAGTTGTTTTTTTTTTCCCCCTGAGCTAGAGTCTTACTCTGTTGCCCAGGCTAGAAAGCAGTGGTGTCAGTCAGCCTACCTCACTATAACGTCAAATTCTTTGGCTCAAGTGATCCTCCTACCTCGGCCTCCTGAGTAGCTGGGACTACAGGTGTGCACCACCACACCCAGCTAATTTGTTCTATTTTTAGTAGAGATGGGGTCTAGCTCTTGCTCAGGCTGGTGTGAAACTCCCATGCTCAAGCTATCCTCCTGCCTCAGCCTCCCAGAGTGCTGGGATTACAGGTGTGAGCCACTGCGCCTGGCCTCTGTTCTAAGTTCTTCGTGCTAATTAGCTCATCACAGTAGGTGCTGTTATTGTTCCCACATTCCAGGTGGGGAAATTGAGACCCCCATTGTCAGCCAGTTTCAAAAGGGCACACAGCTCATTTGAGCTCAGGCCACCTATGCACATAGGATCTGGCTGGCTGCCTCCCTGGTGGAGCTCTGCTCCAGTGGAGGAGAGTGACAGTCACTGCACACACACAGGCTGACAACCACCAACTCTGGTGAGCACTGAAGAGGTGCAGCTCAGGTCTATGGGAGCAGCTAAAAGTGGACGAGGGCTCCTGACTTCTCTGGGGTAGGTGGGGCTGGGGGGTCTGAAAGATCACAGGCAAAGAAGGGTGAGCACTTCCCAGAATGGATAAAACTCTGGGGTTTAGTGGGCATTTCAGGACAAGAGCATTGTGGCTGAAGGTCAGAGGATGGGCAGGAGAGTGGTGTGAGAAGCTGCAGAAGAGTTAGCCTCCCGGGCCGGCAGCACGATGTCCCTGGGCCAGCAGTAGCTCGGGGCCCTCTGATAACTAAGGGGGTGCTCCACCTGGCCTGCAGGTGCTCAGTTCCCTTCTGGTGGCAGAGCAGGGCTAGTTAGGTAGAGCAGCAAAGCATGCTTGGCAGGAGCCACAGGAGGGGGAGGGGAGTAATTGTCCTCAACTCTTGTCAGCCACACTCACCAAGAGTGTAGTCCATCACTCAGCCCTTCCCCAGCTGGCTAGCAAAAAGGACAATGCTCCCCCCCCAAGAGAACACAGGTGCCAATCTGGTCCATGGGAGGGCTCTGCCCACAGGGATCACAGAGCTGAGGCAGGGTTCCCTCACATGCAGGGTGGTGACCCAGCACAGTGGCCAGCTGTGGATTTTTGAGGCTGGCTGTCCTGGGTCAGTGCTATATCTTCTCCAGCAAGGGACATAGCCCCTCTGAGCTTCATACCTGGGCCCACAACCTTGCTAGACCTGCCTCTCAGGGTCAGTGTGCAGATCAACTAATGACCTTGTGTATAAGTGACAGCCAGGATGCCTTCAGCTGTCACTAACAGAAAATCCAACCAACTGGCTTAAACCATAAGGAAGATGTGTCACCAGACAAGTAGGAAGTCCAGTGGGGGTCACTGAGGAGCACTCAGTCATGGCATTAGGGAACTAAGTTTTCTCCATCCTTCCACTCAGGGGGTCACGAGAGGCTACCAAGTCCATACTCCAATCAAACACGCCCACATCTAGTAGAGAAAGGGCTGGTTGTCTCTTTCCAGGGGTGTCATAACCAAGGATCACCCCACAGGAGCCTTCTGTAGGGGATCGGATCACCAGAACACCCACTCCTAAATCAGGGGGAGCAGTGGCCCTACAGGGAAAATGGGGGGAAGGCTGTGGGGTGGACGCCCAGGGTCCACCACACTGCTTCACAAACCAATCAGAACCACAGGAGAGCTTGTACGGGCCCCATGTGGCTTGTCTTGTCCTGAATGGTGACATGGAGGAGACAGGTAATGGGCCGGAAGAAATAGACAACAGCTCCACCACTCAGCACATACCCCGGAGGGGTAAAGGGGCTTTAATATGCTGAATTGCAGGCTCAGCGCCTGTGGCTCAAGCAGCTAAGGTGCCAGCCACATACACCTAAGGTGGAGGGTTCGAATCCCCAGCCTGGACCCGCCAACGATGATGCCTGCAACCAAAAAATGGCCAGGCGTTGTGGTGGGCACCTGTGGTCCCAGCTACTTGGGAGGCTGAGGCAGGAGACTTGCTTGAGCCCAGGAGTTGGA